TTTTTTTCACTCCACAGTTTGCTTGTTTTGTAAAGTTTCTTTTCAAATTTGGTGCGTATCTCACCAATGTGAGGACATTTTAATATCTCCCTTTATATATTATATAGAATATTTATAGATTTTTCATAATTTGTTCTCTCTTTTATTTTTTATTTATTTATTTTTTTAAATTTTATTTTGTTTCAAAGACAGTCTGAATAAAAATAGCTGCTGTGGATTTCTTTTGGTCCAGTTAGTGTGTTAAGTCACGAGTTGTGTGAGGACTCAGGACTTTTGCTGGGCAGAGACACCCTTCCAGTAGTCTAAGATGTCGTGAAGATCCTCGTCTTTGGCAAACTGGACCTTTTTGCGTAGGGCATGGCCGGCTGCCATATATTCCTCCTCATCTTTGTGCCGCTTGCGGTTGATTTTGAAGCGCTCCCAGATGCTGTGCGATGGTTTGCAGGTGTACTCTGGGCTGGAGGTGTAGCTCAGGTTGTGATACTGAGGTGAGAGCTGGGAATAGGCCAGGTCTCTGGGGCGAGGACGGGTCAGAGGCTCCAGGATGGAGGGCTTTCGCCCTGCCATGCTGTCGTGCTGCTCGCCTTGGTGCGAGCCGGGGTACGAGTGCCGGTGTTCGCTGTACTGACGGATCTTCTCCGCCTCTGCCCGCAGGATGGCTGCGGCCGGTGTCACAGTGAGAATGGTGTCAGTGGTGGGGGATGTCTTCTCAATGTATTTGGCTTCTGATTTGTGGCCCGATCCCTCGGAGCGGTAGGACCTAGGGCTCCGTATGGAGCCACTGGAAGAGGTGCTGGAGCGTTTGGGGGCTGCCTCCATGCTGTGGTGCCGCTGGAGAGGGTGGTTGTAGCTTTCCTTGTAGATGGGGGAGAGGAATCCGTGTTTGCTGGGGATCTGCTCTGACAAGAGCACCAGCTGAGGCTCCACTGTGGAGACTGCCCCCGATTTCACCCCTTGGAAGGAGGTGGACTCAGACTTCAAGGCATCGATGCAGTTGTTGATGATCTGGTTCACCTTGTCCACCTCCTTGGCAATGGTGGAGATCTCAGCCACAGAGCTCTGGGTGTCCGGTGGAAGGGACAGCTCGCAGTCTCGCCTCTCAGGCTGCTCACCCGTCCTCACCTCCATGTAGTTGCCCTTGGTGGCCTTGGGGGTCTCGCTGCTGTCAATCAGCTTGTACTGCTCGACCTCACCAGCAGAAGGCAGGTAGGGGATGCGGGTCACCGTCTCCCCACCCAGTATCTGCCCCTGGGACAGCTGGGTGATGCTGGTGGTCTCCATTTCTGGCCCATATTTGAGCTCGATGATGGTCTTCTTCATGCTGCCGGCAGCCTTTTTGTGCTTCTCCTCCTGCTGGCGCCTCTTCCGGAGACAGTAATATACAACACCCAGGACAATCACCATGCCAAAGAGACAGCCCAGGATTGTCATGATGTAATGGGTGGCAGTGGAAGGGGTGGGCACCGGCTCCTTGCGGTTGGGTCTGGTGGGTGTGATGGTGACACAGGTGTGGTTGTACTTGGAGTATTGGTGGACAGAGACTACACAGTAGGTGTAATCTCTTTGTGCTACTAGGTTGCTCACGGTGATGTTCTCCTCCTTCTTCCTGAGCTTGGTAATCATGGAGGAGAAGCCGTTTTCGAACTGGGAGAGGATGTACATCTTGCTGAAGGGGTAGGGGATCTGCACGGTGAGGACAGCCGAGTTGTGGTTGAGGTGCTTCACCTGGATGTTGGGGCGCACCTCGGTCTCGCCAAGGGGTGTGAAGAGGGGGAACTGCGGGGTCGTGCCATCACCAGAGGAGCACTCCTCCTCAGAGCAGGGGCTTTCGGAGGGCGCTGTGGTCACCTGGTACCTGGGAGGGATAAAACGAGGGATCACAGTGTAGGAGCCGCCGGTGCAAAGGGAAGAGAGCATGCTCAGAGCATTGCGGTAGCCAGTCCGGCCTTGGCCTAACAAGTAGTAGCCCGTGTAGTCGGGTGGGGAGTCGCACTGCATCCGGTCATACGTGCGCGTCATGTTGGTGAAAGCCTCCAGCCATTGCAGGAAGCCAAGGAGCTCGCAGGAGCAGTAGAAGGGGTTACTGTAGAGTTCACAGGCAGAGAGCTTGTTTAGGCCCCGAAAAGTGTTGCTGTCGAGTCTCTGGATCCTGTTCATGGACAGGTCAATGTTCACGATGTTGGGACACTCCCAGAAGGCATTGGGGGTGACAGACTCGATGAGGTTGGCCTGGAGATAGAGGTACTCCAGCTTCCCCAGGCCCCGGAGGATGCCCTCGGTGAGGTTCCTCAGTCGGTTATAACCCAGCTGCAGCACCTGGAGGTTGAACTGTCCTGAAAAGGCACCGTCCTCGATGTAGGAGATCTCGTTCTTCGTCAGGTTGAGGTATGTCAGGTTGCCGAAGCGGCTGAGCGAGGCGTAATGCACGCTCTTGATCTTGTTGTCATTCAGCCGCAAGTCCACGATGGTGCTGTTGATTTGCTGGGGGATGGACTCGTAGGGGGGCTGGTTTTGGCTGCAGATGGCCAACCAAACAAAGCCCTTGTCCCCCTCGATGAGCCAGCAGTCTGCCCGCACCCCACCAGCGTGCAGGAGAGAGACGGCTGCCACGCACATGCAGAGGGCTGACGTCGCGTCCCACCGGCGACCTGCCATCTGGAAGGGTGGCGCAGAGAAGGGGTTCCTGGTCTGCCGGTACTGGGGAGCGGGATGGGGACTGGGAAGACGTGGGCTAGTGTTTCTCCAGCAGCTTTGCTCGCTTCTCCCTTCTCCTCATGGCTTGGAGATGGGGGGGAAGCGTCTGTGGAGGAAGTGGACCTCGGTGCCCACAATACTTGGTAGCCACCGGCCAGGGGCTACTACCAAGGCCTGGGTGGCTGAGGCTGGTCCCACATCACCAGGTCTCTGGCATCTTAGGGAGGGAGTCATGAAGTTAGGTGCCCGTGTGGAGGAGTCCCTTTGGCTTAGAGACAAGCCTTCCTCTCACTTTTTTATAGTACATCTCCTTGTTTTCTTTTTGCTGCCCATCACGACACTGGTCCCCATCTCCATGTGCTTCCGTGGGTCTGGCTGTTCCAGCTCGGTCCCTCGGCTCACCTGCACAAAACAAAACACAAGTACAAATTAAACACAAAGCAAAGACAGCGTTTCGAGATACTGGAGATGTGTCCATCTACCCTCTTAATGTCAGTCACTTGCCTTCTAAATCTGGCTACCACCGTTCCAGAAGCCGTTGGTTTATTTGCGTGCTGCCACCTGCAGCACTTGGCAGCACGAGGGAAGGTGGTCACTGACCATGGAGGTCATCCTCTGAGCCCGTTGTCCAGCATCACATTATTGTCCAGCATCACATTATAGGCAGGCGAGAGACCAACGCACATCCAGGGCACTGTTCGTCTGACCTATTTAGGTGTCTACCTTCGGAGGAGAGGAGTGATGCCCCAGAAGTGTCTGTTCCTCTCCGCGGAGAGCAGATGAAGTCTAGACAACTCGCTCTGATGTAGATTTGATGCTGCAGCGTTTTGCTGAGGGGAATCCTAACTGTCTCGCGTGCTGGTGTGCACAGCAGCGGTGCCCACAGAGGGGGATGCTGACTGAGGACATCGTGTCTCTCTGACTGCATCGCTGTGTAGTGTCTCAGATAAAGCCCAGCATCAAGCACCTGTCCTGTTTCTGGGAACCTGAGCAGTAGTTTCAGGGCACTCTGACCACAAAACTTGCTAGCTTGATTGTCCACTATCCGATGTCCTTGTCTGTGGTTGAGGCTTGCTGCCTGTCTCCAAGAACTCTCTTTCCATTCTGGGTGAAATGATGCAGAGGTGGGGAGGATGCTCAACCATCCAGTGACATAACAGAGTATTTGCAGAAGATGGGACAAGGTTTTCCCTCCCCAGCCAGAAACAGCTGCTTGAAGACCAGGAAGAGTCTTTACTAGAGACAAACCTATGTGTCTGCCAGCAGCCTCACTTCCCACAGAAAAACTCTCATTCCTGGCTCACATTTTCCATTATTTTTTCCTGTATTTTTTATTAACCATAAATATCCATGGACAGACAGCATTTCTACCTCCTTTTGTAATTTCTTAGGGAAATAGGAAGGCAAAAGTGGAGAGGAAGGAACTTCACGAGCATCAGCATCTCCTGGGTCATGCTTTTCTACAAGATATTGAAAATATAATCCATGGACATCTCTACTGCCAAACAGCTCACTGGACTGGTAGGATGGATGCAGTGAGGTGTTGTGGCAGAGACAGAGTTGCTCACTAATGGGGAGAAAACATCATGGCCAAAATCTAGAAAAATCCTTCTTGTGACTTTTGTTGGGAATGAGAGCTCTGGTTGTCTCCCTTGTCCCAAGGTAGACCGCAGGAGGCAGGGAAGACACCACCAGCACCCCCTGGACACAGCTGGTAGGAACTGGAGGTTTCTTGGGCATCCATGAAGGGGAATATCTTACATCTAAATTGTCTTTCACTGCATCTGCAAAATAGTATAAATCCAGAACGTGGTTTCCAAGCCATTTCCCAGTGCCCAGGCACTGTGCTGGGTGCTGCACACCTGAAAATCATTGCTGATTGTCAAGGGACGATTAGAAGGAGATGCCATGCTCTTGCCCTTGTCCTGAAGAAACCAGGTTCTTTTCCACCCATGATACCAGGCAATGAAGCAGACCATGTTTCACTGCAGAGATCTCTGTTAACCATTCACGGTTTATAACTCAGTAAACAGGCCAGTAATAATAAGCAGTAAAACAGTTTATTTGTTCTTTCTGGATTGTGAGCAATGAGTCTATTCCCTGGTGTCACAGCTGGGTTTCCATTACACGAATAACAAGAGCTGCTCTCACATCATGTGAGATTCTCCAGCCACCTTGTCCTCCAGCAGACACCCCACCAGCTGCGAGGGGAGGTGAGGCCATGGGGGAAAATACTCGGTGCCCCCACGGAGGGCAGGGTGTGTGGGACCCCCTTCTTGCAGACTGTACTGTCTGCGGCACTGGTGCAGTCGCGTGTGGGTGCAATGTGCTGGCCCTAAGATGATGCTTCTGCGGGGCCCTGCCTGGGCACTTGCAGGTCCCTCTCTGCCTCCCCAGTGCTGGTGCTGTCCTATCCCAGCTACATTTGGCAGAAAGCTCAACAAAACCAGGTTTTCAAAAGTTGACTAGAAATGGAGCTTGGGTGGAAGGGATGCTGAGGGCATTGCAGCTGAATCTCAGATCTCCTCCTTCCCGGGGGTAAAAACCTGGACTTCAGCATGCTTTTACGTTGCTATTCCCACTGAAGCCCTTATATCACCACAGTGATACTGATATTGCAGGTAACCCCATTTTGGGGAATAGTACTTGCTCAGCTGGCAGGAGCACATTTGCAAGGATGTGCTGTCCCTTCCCTGGGATACTTCACCGGGACCTGGCAGCCAAGTCCTTGGAGATAGTGAAGGAAGGGAAGAGGGACAGTGCTCCCTGGGGTGTCACAGGTGAGTGTCACCCCTTACCACCCCCCAGCTGATGGGGAGCCAGGGGCTGTAGTGCCAGGCTGAGAGACTGCTGCTGCATCCCTCACAGCACTGGGCAACTCAGGGATGGCACAGAGGGTGCTTTCCTCATCTGCTGCCCTCGGCGTGAGCACTTCCCTATCCTCCTCCACCGGCGTGTGCATTACAAGGACCTCCCGCAGGCAGGGGAAGCCCTGCTGAATTGAGACAGCACAGGCAGCAGGAGTGATGCATCTTGGCATATTCTCTTTAGCAAGCACTTATTCTGCCTTGTCTAACTCCCATTTTGACCCAACCATTGTGTCTGGGCAAACATGTGTTTGGGATTGCTTTGCAGAGCCAAACAAGCCTTTTTCTTGCAGAGAAAGCTTTCTTGTCACTCCTCCCTGTGGATGCTGTGGGCTGCAGCCTGTGTGAGAGGGCATTGGCTAATGGAGTGGGACCATCTTGGGAGCAAAGAGCAGAGACAGACCCTCCATGGACCATGCCAGGCTGATCCCCTATAGCCTTCTCATCACCCATGTGCCTCCCTCATCTAATTGGAGGTGTCGGGGGTGAAGAAGAGCAATGGTAAATGACTCAAACACGTTCAATAAGGCTCCTGCTGTGTGTTTTCTCTTATTTCCTGTACGTTGCCTATCAGATGGGTCCTTCCCAACAACAGAAAGGAGAAAAGGCATTTTATCAGCAGCCTGAGTTTAATTTCAGCTCATTAAAGCAAGCAATTTGCTAGTTTATTTGCTTTGCAAAGTGTGAATAAAATGACAGCATTAAGGAGATGTAAGAGAGGAAAGAGGGGCTAATCTCCCTTTTTATTAGATTGCCGGGACATGACTGGGGAGCAGAGAAGTGGGTCTTGTTGCTTTGCATGGGAGGGATAATTGTTCATCTTGTTGGCTTCTGAACCCCCCCTTTCCCAGCATCACGCCGACACAAGCGCGCGTGGGTGTGCGCCTGCGTGTCTGCACTGCGACATCAGCCAAGCGCCGAGCATCCCGCGAGGCAGGACGGGAGCAGCGGCACTCGCAGTGGTTCCCAACTCATCTCCCTGTAACAGCAGATAAAAGACATCCAGGAGGCTTTTCCTTCTTCCCTGTTCTACCTTCTACCTTGCCTCTAATCTCCCTTTTCTGTTCATTTCTGCTTCTGGGCTTAATTCTTGCAGGTTAGAAATAGAGCAGCCAGCTGGCTGAGGAGCCTTCACTGTCCCTCACCTCCTGCAGCTGAGATGTGGCTCTGGAGAGCAGGGGAGAGATCCCCCTTGTCCCTTCCCCACAGACTGGATAAAAATCAGTACAGAAAGCTAGTGTTTTTGCCCTCCCACCTGCCTGATTTGTCTTTGCCCAGGTGTCCCGGTTTTATTCTCCTGGTAACCCAGTTGCACACCACTTTTCCCAGTCCTCTGACCCTCCACAGAGCTGCCTGGGAATGAACCACCTACAACTCCAATGTGAAAAACAACCAGAAGAGTGGAGATTTGGGGTTCTCCTTCACTGGTTGAGAAAGAAGCAAAAGAGAGGAATGAAGATGGTGTGGAATAACAATAGTGATGATGATTTGAAGTGATTAATTTAATTTAAATCAATGATATCCTGAACTGTGGCACCATGCTGATGACGAGACGTCCATGGGGAGGCCATGCTGTATACACTGCTGTATTTCCCTTTTTCTTCTGCTTCTCAGCTGGTCAAACCAGCCAAGAAGATGTCAGGCTGATGTGGCTTACAGAGGCCAGCAAAGGGGCAATGACAACTCCCTCACTCCTTGCTGCTCCTACACGTTGCCTCTGATCTCCAGCATCCCTGCTGGAGCCTGGATCCGGGCTTTGCTCTGCTAATCCTCAGCCCTGACCTGTGACACCCTCCCCTTCTACCTGTCCCTGCGTCTCCAGCCCTGGTCCCCATCAACAACCCAGCAGCAAAGACAGACAGCTGTGATTTTGTGATGTTCACGAGGCTGAGCCTGCCCTGGATGAGCAGCAGCAACCTCGTCCTGGCTGAAAACCCACAGCAAGGGAGGTGGAAAGGAAAAGATAAAGCTAGGGCTCCAAAAACGAGTGCAGTCCAGCTGGGAAGTTTTTGCTTCCATCTCCCAACTAATGGCATCTCAGTAAATGAAACCAGAGCAGCAGCTGCAAGGAAGCAAACAAAGCAGCCGTGGGGG